TCTTTTAACATGAGATTACAGAACCCGACTTAGAAAAGGAATCCCAAACTGCACTCCCACGCTGTGCAACACAAGCAGAAGATTATTGGTTATCAGAGAATAATGGCTCGTCCAGGCACAAGGAAATTTAGCAAAGAGAATACGCAATTCCATTCTTTAATTGATTCATACTTTGATCTTCACTGGCTAGTGAAACCCTTCAAAATTGTCAAGGGAGAACCATCATGTAATGTTATCAAAGCAAATCTAACACTCACTATAGGATACCATGATTAGCTGGACTCAAAAATTTCACAACAGCTTCAACAGAGAATAAGAAGTTTGTAGAAGCCTAAAAGTAGATTTCTTGAAGAGGGAAACATAATGGTAGGAAAAATTTCAAATGGCTGCATAATTCATCCGAAACACACAAAGATTGAATCTGGAATACATTAATGTCATACGACAAGTTGTAACAAATGCAAGTCACCAATTTAGACATCATATCGAACGCTTTCTGTAAAATGACGAGCTTATGATTGGTCATGTAGTGATTCCTGATGGAACTTATTGATTATCGAAATGTAATAACAAAGTCACAATAATACAAGCAACTAATCTCCATACATATGGTCAACAGCCGCAGACTTTCCATGCCACAAAAAATACGCTTTTGCCAACATTCCCAATCAAAACATCGGGAAAAAGATGTTGAGACTTTACTAAGAGACATCAATGCAAGTGGAGTGTATATTGTTATTGTTAAAAACAACAGATCAAACCTTCAATGTTGTAAGTTGAGGTCGAAACCTACATAATGTGCCACCGCCTAAAAAATAACATCTTGGCGATCATGAAATATCATCTTCCAAATCTCACAGTTAATTTTTTTTAAACATGCATGATTGTGGACTCCTTTCGAGTTAATGAGCGCATTCTGATCAAATCAATTCACTAAGATGTCTTTTTTATCTTTTTTCTTGAAACTGTTACCATCTCATGGTCAACAATACATATAAAGGAGTGAATATCTGAATCCTTATGCAAATGTATATTCCCCATTAGTATCCAATTAATCAGGGCACACATTCTTTTTTTCAACGATTAAAGATGTTTCTAACAATATACTCCATCTACAAATATAAAGACGATATACTCCAACGACTACCCCCAAGTGGAAATCGCTTTCCTAGATGTTTGATTTCTTATATCAAGATCGAGCATTTTATGGACTCTCATTGCCCACAAAGCAAAAAAATCAAAATTGAAACTATGTGAGATATATATATATCACAATAATGGACAAGCCCAGAAAGCAACAATATTGACAAACAACAGGAAAAAAGGAACAAGAGACAATAGTTCGGGTATTTGAGATATCATATTCAAAATATTTTGCACTTCCCATTATAAGAAGAGAGAACGAGAAATTATGGAAAAGTAACTAACAGGAAAATTATAAAATTCGGTGTAACTTTTAAATGGGAGGTGGTGCAAGAAACACAAAGTGTAATGCTTAATCTTTATTGCAGTGCCATAAATGTTTATAGTTCAAGACTAGCCTTGTTTGCAGCAAGAACTATTCCTAATACTTATTGAAGTATGAAACTTAGCGTTGCATCAAAAGTGTCTGGAACCTTTAACCTTCGAAGTTTTAGTGCCAGCAGTTGCATGATTTGTTCGTGAATCGCTTGAAGAAGTCTTTCCCTCATCTTTATTGCCACTATCAGGTGAATGAGATAATTTATCGAAAGACTTGCAAATTGGTGAAGAAGTTTCTGAAGGACAATCAGCAGCTACTGGCACACTATTACTTCCATATCCAGAGCCAGTAGAATTCTTGCTTTTTCTTCCACTCTGACCATATGATACAACATAGGAACATATTTCACTTCCTTTTCATTAGAAAACTAGATGTATCAAAACAGCTTTCTGCCAAGGGTTCGTGTCCAGCGTCCATAAAAAAATAAGAAAGTATTTGTGATCCCACAACACAAATATATTTGCAAAGAGGTTTGGGAATTCATCACTATGAAGGTTACTACCTCAGCAGGTGCAACCTTTTTCGTTTCCAGTGTTTCACAACTTGAAGAACGCACTCGTAGAGCGATTATATCTGAAAGGTCAACCAGCTGACAGTGTCTCTTTGAGTCTGCCAATGATGTTTGTTGAGGTTGAGATGTCAAACCTTGAGAAGTTTGCACACTTTCCTGGAACAAATCAGAATATCACTAGGTCAAGTCAAGTCCAACAAAAAGTAATATACCCAAATCAAAAAGTTTAGCTTACTGCTAAATGGTATCCTACCAGTGGTATTGAGTTGTCCACTATGGTCAACGCTGCAGAGACAAACACTAAGATAAGGACTCGCATACAAATGCAATAGTCAGAGAGAGAGAGAATGTGCAAGGAAGACAACGAACATATCATTACATGTTGAACTATTTTGGCATCTAATAATGACCAAAACGTAACGAGAGGGTAGATTACCCGAGTTATCAAAGCATAACTTCTGTCTGAACTTAACTAAGATTAGATAGAGGTTCATGTTTCCTTAATTATTCTCAAACGAAAAAATGCAAAAACTTAGTATCATTTACTTTGACTGAGGCCAATCAGGTAGCATCAGAATTTCCCCAGATGAAGAAGGTTCTGCCCAATTACCGTGGTTATCTCCCTTTCAAAGTTCTTCACATAATTGTCATTGTAGTGAGCTCATTATTATTTCGTAAATTCGCCACTTTGAAAATTGAGATGTGGAAAACCTCTTCTGCTAAGAAACAGTTGTGGCCTTATGGCATGTGAATTTGAAGCATACGAAGTTTCAAGAATATGTCTAACATGTGTTCTAGCAGACCAAAAATTGAAAATCACCCGAACAATCCACTATACTGACATATACCATCTACAAACGGAAAAAACATTTTGTTATAAGGGTCTTTCATCCTTAGCTATCAAAATGGTTATATTGTTTCTCTCTCCTTGTTGGACACCAACAACTTCCTTATACTTTACGGTGCTATTATTCTTCATTACTCACTTTACGTGCCTGAATTGCAGAAGGATCACCAACCAATACACGGCTTGCTCTGACCAAGACTGCACTTTTTGCTCCATCCGTGGAGCATATGAATTTCCTGGAATGTAGATAGAACAGAATAGAAAAGGGAATGGAGGGATAACAATAGGAATTAGAGCACTATTGGAGGAGGGGGCATCTGCGGGAACATCTCTCCTGACGAACCTTTTCAATAGTACAAGTGCTGCTGTGGGCATTCAATTAGCTTAGTATGAGTGGATAACTCGAACATTAGAATTTTGCAATAGAAATCGCTTATTGTTCTCAATTAGCTGAGTGGATAACTTGACCGTAAGAATTTTGCAATAGCAACTACTTATGGTGCGAGCATTCCCACAAAACTTTTTTTGCTGATAAACGGCTAATTCATCCCATCAGAAACACAAAGAAATGTCATATTACTGAGATCAACATATAGACACAATTCCAAACAGAAAACGCACTGGTGTTGCCAACCATCCTCCAACAACACTATCAGGTTAGTAATCCTAATAAGAACTCAACATTATGAGGTTATTCATTTTCAAACTGCCTTAACCAAATTTTTGAGGCATCATACCGAAATCACTACTACCAGTCAGCTCCCTAATCATTTCTTCATTCATCTCCTGCTCTCTGGATTGGGAAGGATCGCCTTGTTGAATCTTCACATTGACCATTTCTTTGGCCTACAAAAAGAGAAGATAACAAGTGTGATTGGTAAAACAAGAGCCATAAATAGTTTGAACGGAGCAACTGATTTAAAAAAATCACCATGTGGGAGGAACCTTCGTTATTGTTTGAATTATTTTGTTTCCATCCCTTAAAAATTTCATGAAATATCAACCACCATTCGTGGAGAAAACCGTCAGGAACATCAATTGCTGGAAGAATTAAGGGAAAAGAAAAGAAAAGAAAAGATCAGTGCAAGTCAAAACTCTGTAAACCAAGCAACATGAAGCAAAATCCACTGCGAGAATTAAGCTTGCTTCAATCATAACAATAACCAATCTCCTTATATCTCATCAGAACATCTTCCTAGTTTTTCATCTTAGTTCAAAAACAAGTTGCGTTTGATCGGTTGTATTCCAACCATGATCTGTAATGGAGTGTGCAGCCTAATCGTACCATTCACCTAGTCGTGGATCCCAGGGTGTTTTACATAATGGTACTTACCCTACTCTTATATATTTTTGACAGACCTGTAACTCTAGGCTGCATATGTTATTGTGAAAGGCCAACTCTGAGGTATTCTCCGATTTCTTTGTTTTAACACCCGGCATTAAACTACTACATCTACATCGGGTGAACTATGTAAATCCGAGTTCTTGTCTGCACTTCCAATCACTTTCTTTTTCGTATTCGTAAGCCCCGAAACCAGATATATCCTATGGTTCCACATATTCCTAACGTTGGTAAATAAAAGACAACTATTGCCCGGAATAAAACGTTATACCCGAATGGCACGTCCAAACTGAAACCCCCTCTGATTCTCTTTATCAAAAAATTTGTGTACAGTTGTTTAGATGCAATTTCAGTAGTGGGAAATGATTTTGCCACTCCTTTTTTTGTTAACGCCACTCCCCTGCAAGTATATTTTTGCACCAAAAATACACTTGCAGGGGAGTGGCGTTAACAAAAAAGGAGTGGCAAAATCAGCAACCTAAGTATTATATCGAGTGGAACTTTTGAGAGATGTGAAAATTATCGCGTGATATTATAATGCCTGGAATTGCACCGAAATATGGATACATACATTTTTGGGTACTGAGGATTTGAACTGAAGTATCGGGGTTCGAGTCTTATCGCTGCGAATTGCAGCACCCCTTCCCCTATCCCCTCCTATCGATTGACAAAAAAAAAAAAAAAAGATTTTAACACTGTACAATCATATGATTAAACACAGAAGAAAATTCCTTTTATTGTGTGTGTGTGTTCTTTTTAGGAGCATCGGAAAGTCTGGTGCAGTACGAGGACTTCCCAGAGTCACCCATCCTAGCAGTACTTCGCCTGCGGAGTTCTGATGAGATCCGGTGCATTAATGCCGGTAAGATCGCACCCGTGTGTGTGACAGTGTGAGAGACAGAGGGAGGGAGATGGAAAGGAATATTATGGAAAGATTACCAGGAGGAGACATAGGATCGAAGGGGAGATTAGCCTCACACCTGAAGATCTCTGCAATATCACCCTTACCATTTTTCATCAAGTAATCATACACATACCTTTCAAACCTGTAACAATATAATCACAAAACCACCCTCAATATATATCATCAAAAAGAAAATCACCAAAAAGAGAACAATTTATAGAGAAGATGAAATCCACATCTCTCGATTGTCCCATGGGCAGCCCATGATATGCTATCCAAAGCCCTTCACTTTCAGGAATTTTCTGAAGAAACAGAGACTCAGAACGAGGGATGAGGAAGGAAGTGAGATTGAAAATCAAGGCCAAGAAAAGAAACAGGAGAGACACCCAATTTATGGGAAAGAAACAGAGGGCCATCAAGAGAGAGAGAGAGAGAACAATTAAAAATGGGTTTTTTTTTTTTGCGAGTGAAAGTGAATGCTCGATTTCATTTCATGGAGCTATAAAGCATGAATCTGATCTGAAGATTCTCAACCAATAAATGAACAGTCACAGGCTCACAAATCCCAAAGTATGTAACTGCTGCAGCTGAAATTATTCAGTGCCCAACACAAAACGTGTGGAGTTCATCAACTTTTTGTGTTCCATTGCGACCGCTCGAAAATAGAATTTCGGGTGCGATGTCGAATGCCATAAAAACTTAATTGAAGCCCTCGTTAATACTAATTAGTTTTAGGAGGAGTGGTAAAAAAGCGGTCCGACAGTTACTACAGTATGTTAGTGTTAGTATGTTGGGCCTTGTTCCTATTAAGCTTTTTTAGTTTTTTGGCGTTTTGTTTCTATTTAAAATTTTTCACATTTGTTAATTTTGTGCCAAAATTTTTATAGATTATTGAATCATCTTGACGAGAAAAATCAGAAAATCCAAAAAAATTTACTTTTGCCCAAATATTTTTGAAAATATCTAAAATAAAACCTAAAAGTCCATCGCGATCTTAATTTAGATCGTGTTGGTAATAATTATAAGTTTATTGAGTTTTGTTTTCTTAGCACATTAAGTCAAGTCGTTCGAGCTTATAAAAAAATGTACTCCTTCTGTCCCAAATTACTTAACCTATTCAGGTAAATGATAATCATGCATTTTGCATGCAAAAAATAATATATTTGTGGGTGTTTTTTTGAAAAAATTGTACAACAATTTTTTTATTCTCAATGATATCTTTAAATCGACGAGAAAATTTTTGAAAAAAAAATCGTGATAATAAAATATTTTTTTGCATGCAAAATACACTGCTATCCAAAAAGGTCAAGCAATTTGGTGCAAAGTGAGTAATAAAGTTTGATCATATTTTTAAGTTTGATTACCTAGCAAAATTAAGCGGGAAAAAGAAAAGAAAAAAAAAGCCTTCAATGAATCAAAATTGAGTAGCTATGAATAAGTGTCTTCAGCAAATAGCATCCGCCGGGTCGGTCTAGTTTTCAGTTCAAATTTCCCAAGTGTTTTAGTATCAATTTTTATAGATCAGTGTATACAGAGTCTTTGTCACGAATTTAATAGATCCTCTCATAATGGATGATGGCATTGATTCTCATAAAATTAAGACTAGTGATTTTGCCACACCCTCTTTTGTTAACGCCACACCCTGCAAGTGTATTTTTGCACCAAAAATACACTTGCAGGATGTGACGTTAACAAAAAAGGGTGTGATAAAATCATTTCCCAAAATTAATCGAGGCGATCGCAAGCTGGTCCGAATAACTTATAAAAAATAATTATCGTATTAAACCCGTGATGTGGGGTGTTTTGATGGGTGGTGCCTGTCCAAATGAGAGACCTATTGCTTTAGCCGAGTGTAGGAGAATAAACCTCACTGGGACTTGGTTAAAAGCAGATTGTTTAATTTTCATTCTAGGCTGTAAAGATTATTTGGAAAGTGTAATAATTAATGCCATAAAAATACCATTAAACGCTCTTCACGATTTGGCTCTTTCCGATTATAGCATGCTTTTGCTTCAAGATTTAAGGAGCAATAAATGAAAAAAAAGGTCTCCTTATGTATATTCCTCTTGTTACTGTTGACATTTTGTGTCATTTTTTTCTAAAATTATTTTCGGTCAGCCAAGTTGAATGAAATAAGAAAAACGAGCGATTCGTTGTGTGACAGGCTATTTACTTGACGCTTTTGTGTTTTGATCTTCAATTTGTGAGGAAAATAGGAAAAAACAAAGTCAAATGATTTCTATACTCCCTTTCACATAAATACGAAAGAGAATTTATCTTCTAGCACTTACAATTATACGCAACACAATTTCCAAAGCATACTAAACAATAAATTTTAAAATACATTTATACAAAATAAACAGTGAAAAACGTTTCTTAAAACCAAATCAAAGCAATTATTCAAGGGGGGCATAAAATAGTAATTTTTATTTGGTGGGCATTTACGTTTCTTCCCGAAAAAATAAAATCCCACCATTAATCAATTCGAAATCATCTCTATAGGCATTTCCCACCCATCCATCCTGTGGAGCGGCCTAGAACAGATTGAGCAAAACTACCAACACAACTTTAAAACACAGCTCCGGATACAGCTGCGTCCAGAGATGCACGTAGGTCCACATGAATCGAACGGCTCAGACACTATTGTGTTTGTAGACTTTTTTGGAAAAAGATTGAACAGTCTTCCTATTCAGAATTCAATCCACAGCCTCTTACCTGTTTATCACCAAGCATTCCAGAATTTCCACTGAATTTTATGTACTAATAACAACAGCAGCTTCTTCTTCTTCTTCTTTTTGGAACTGTGTACTAACAATAGCTAGAATCACAACATCTCTAATGTTACAACATTTCTAATGTACAACATTTTTCTTCCCTAAGCACCTCCCTATTATTTAGAGGGTGAGCTAAACAAATGCCTTCAGGCTGTAACAACACGATCAGACACCAGTAATGTACAAGCTAGCTGCAAAAACAATGTCGCGCTTTATTGCATTGGAAGCCGATTCCATCTTCTTGTATAGACCAGAATTACCCATAATTGAAGCAGCGTTCTTGAATTCACGGCACGTCTCGTCTAGTCTTACAATAGTCCTCACTATCAGCCCTTCGGGAACATCCGTAAGTTCACAGATATCAGCGAATGGAGTGCCCTATCACGGGAGAAAGTAGCGTAGCTAAGTCATTTGAGGAACAAGTGATAGGTTCTGATGATGTGCTTTTAAACAAGACTAAAAACAAAACATAATTCTAAAAAAGAAAAGAACCTTTGCCCATTCATAGACCACTTCAACAAGGCCAAACTTAAGATTGTCTCGAGCATACTCCTCAGGGTTAATCTGTACGCCGCGTTGTGCTTGAAGCTCCCCAAGTCTTACAGCAGTTTCATACAATCTTTAAGTGCATGGAGATATGGTATTAGTGTGGAGCAATGCGCTAAACAGACAAAATATGAGCCAATTCATGTAGTACAAGACGCAATACTTAATGTACATTCAGTATCATGTACATATATGATATATCTACAGAGTCTTTTTTTTTTAATTGTTAAAGAAACATAGCTAGTGTCAACATTGTGCTTTACCAAAGCATAACCAACAACAAACTCAAAAAGCATTCTCACCTCAAACTTGCAAGTCCTATGGGAACCGACCATCTGTAATTTGAATGAAAAATTGGAAGGTTGGACTTGGATCAACACTTATCGTATTGAGCTGATTTTTTTTCAGGCCCACCCAAAAATTTATTTAAAATTATGGAACGGCTCTGATTATCCGTGCGGGACCCGGAGTGGGCCCCGCGTGTCAATCCATGCACCAAATCGTTGGTTCCCATGGCTTTTTCATTACTGGAAAATTTTCCAATTCAAGAATATGACAACCTAAGCCCGGATACTCAAGAGAGTCACCGGCAAGGAGAGACATTTGAAACTCAGAATCGAATTTCTTTAAAGGTTAAGTATAGTGTTGTCTCCCATACAGGCAAGAATAAGATCAAGGTTACCAAAACTGCAGTACAGTTCACGCACCACGTTGTTATAGTGTTGTAAATCCAGGTTCACGTTTTAAGGTTGCAGTTACAACCCCTTCAACACTGAGAAATTGATGCAGTATGAAAAGATTATATTATTTAAAAAAAGAATATAAAGTTCCTTATTTTTGTTTTATTTATTTTGTTAGGAATCTTGCAATTATAGAAATAAGTGTCTACATTATTTAGTTTTTCAATTTAGTTTATTTAGTTTCCTTTTAAGAATTATTTGATCAAGTAGACTCGATTCTAACTTTGGCAGTTTCCTTTTTCTTTATTTTCTAGTGTGTAGGGTTTCTCCCACTATAAATTGGGTTGTAAGCCTTAGGGCTATTCAGTTTTTGATGATTATTGAAATTATAAAGAGTGTTCTCTTTTATGCCAAATTCTTTAGTATTCCATGGAATCAACAAAGTGTTTGATGCCTTTATTCCTGGGTATTCTTTGACTAAACGGGTTTAGAGAAGGATTTCGATCTCCGGGTATTCGTTACGAATCAACGGATTTTGGACTTGATTAAATAGTTCTGTTCTTCTTTAGTTTCCGCTGCATCAGTTGGTATCAGAGCCCTAATCTCTTTATTCCAAATTCTTTGGTATTCTACGGAATCAACAGGGTGTTTGATGCCTTTATTCCTGGGTATCCTTTGACTAAACAGGTTTAGAGAAGGATTTCGATCTCCGGATATTCGTTACGAATCAACGGATTTCGGACTCGATTAAATAGTTTCGTTCTTCATTAGCTTCCGCTGCATCAGTTGGTATCAGAGCCAGGTTAGAATACGACCAGGGAAAAATAGTTAAAAAATAATTACCTTTGTTTAGCCTGGGAAAGCTTGGAAGTAAGTGTAGGTTCAGACGTATTCTTCTGCTGAAACACAAGGGCAGACATTATCGCCACTGCCTCTTCTGGTTCCAGTTCATCCAGTTGATTCTCAAAC